ATAAAGGGAAACGTAAACAACAGAATATAACCAATCAAATCAAACTTTTGTGAAATCAAACTGTTAACTTATTGACAATCACTTTCCCATGCTGTTGTGCAAACAGAATAGAAAAGAGGTGGGTGTTATCTGCAATTAGCAAGAAACAGTAAATAAAGGAGCAGTTCTGCAGTTGTGGACCACTTCTCAGTACCTATGCTTTCTGGCTGATGTTTTGGTCACTTTTAAATATTAGTGGTGCTTTCACACTCATGGCAGCATAAGACGGACTCTTCAAACCAAATAAATGGCTCAGCTAGTGCAGCTCATCCAGGATGGTACATCAATGCCAGCCGTGGCAAGAATCTTTGCTGTGTCTGTCAGTGTAGTGTCCGAAGGCTGGAGATGCTACCAAGAAATAGGCCAGTATACCAGGAGATGTAGAGGAGGCTGTAGAAGGGCAACAATCCAGCAGCAGGACTCCTACCTCCACCAGTGTGCAAGGAGGAGCATGAGGAGCACTGCATGAGGATGGTATGAGGGCCGACATCCACAGATGCGCGTTGTGCTCACAGCCCAACACCATGTAGGACATTTGGCATTTGCCATTTAACAATAGGATTGGCAAATAGCCACTGGTAGCCTGTGCTCGTCACAGATGAAAGCAGGTTCACACTGAACATATGTGACAGACATGACAAGGTCTGGAGACACCATGAAGAATGATCTGCTGCCTGCAACATCCTTCAGCATGACCGGTTTGGCGTTGGGTCAGTGATGGTATGGGGGGGCATTTCTTTTGAGGATCGCACACTCATCCATGTGCTTGCCAGAGGTAGCATGACTGCCATTGGTTACCCAGAGGAGATCCTCAGACCCTTTGTGAGACTATATGTTTGTGTGGTTGGCACTTGGTACCTCCTAATGCAGGACAATGCTAGACTTCATGTGGCTAGGGTGCATCAGCAATTCCTGTAAGATGAAGGTGTTGCCGCTATGGACTGTCCCGCCCGTTCCCCAGACCTGAATCTGACTGAGCACATCTGGAACATCATGTCCAGGTGACCAGTCATATAGGCACATCGAGGCCACACACAATACTGAGCCTGAATTTGACCTGTTTTAAGGACATTACATCCAAGTTGGATATGCCTGCAGTTTGTCTTTCCACTTAAATTTTATGTGTGACTCCAAATCCAGGCCTCCATTGGTTAATAACTTTGATATCCATTGATGATGCTTATGTTTATTAGATTTTTGATGATATTTTACATTCAACCCTACAGAACAAAGTATTCAATAAAAATATTTCCTTTATTCAGATATTAGGATGTTATTTCAGCGTTCCCTTTATTTTCTTGAGCAGTACACAAACACACACACACATATATACGTATATATATAATTTGAACTGTCTTGCAACTTAAATGAGTCAGACAGACAAACAGAAAGACAGATGGATATTAAATAAATAGATATTACCTTGGTGATTCGCTCAACCATGAGTGATGCAGGCATCTCTCCATCCCGATCCAAAACCTCAAACTCCTCTCCAAAGTCACAGAACAACTGGCTGCAAATTTACATAAAAATTTCCATGTTTTCTCCTTTTGCCAAATTTATTTCACACTATATATGTGCACCCACTTACCCGCAGAGCCCTTTTGTATCTGCAACTATAAACTTAATGCCATGTTTATGGCAGAACTCCCCAAAACGTTTCTGATCATCCAGGGAGGAGTCAGTCAGGACCACCACCTGGTAAAATGACAAAGGTTCACTGCTTGTTACTAGACCTTACTGTAAAAAGTTCCATATGGAGAAACCTTCATCCGTGTCATTTTCTATGCTCATCATCCCAATAGGTGTGAAAGTTCAGCTCTTTATTATTTTTCAATAAATAGTAAATAAAACAAAAAAATCCACATACCTGGAATTTTAGAAGGAAGTCCTCATTTAGTGGTCCAGTGTGTGATGACACAAGCACATGACGGTTTAACGCAGACAACTGTGGGAGTGAAGATGTGGCTCGGTTCTGACCAAGATCTCCCTCTTGCAGGAAAAACTGGAGGAACAACAAAAAGTAGAAAAATCGATGCTCTCTGTGATGCTTCTTGTATTGAATTACAATTTAGATCAATTAACATTTATCCCTGCAAATGATTGTGTTGATCAGGATTTGAATGTATTGCAGCTGAATTGAAACCGATTGTGGGAGATAAATTAGACTGTATAAGTTATCTGAATTAGATTTTATGAAAAAGGAATGAACTGGGCCAGATTTAATTTAATCTGAATCTGAATTTTTCTACAGTGTAGCTAAATAGAATTAGACAGTAGTAATCTGTGGATCGATAGTAAAATATTGATACATCCAAAACCACAACTTAAGGCTCTAAAATAAGTTCTCAAAACTAAATATCAATATTTTCAATACTACTGTCATTTAAGATATTGTAAATAAAAAAAAAAAAAGCCTAAATGCATGCTTTGGAGGGAACTTTTAATTAGTTCCCCCCAAAGCGTGCTTTAAAGCACAGTATGATGCCCTGCTCGGTCACTCACTGACAGAGTTAAAATACCACAAAAAGTCCAACCTTAAGTGTTTATGGGAAAACAGTAAGAAGTTGTTGCATCATAACAACCTCTTAAAAGCACCTAAGGTCAAACCAAAACACAGAATATGTGTGGCTGCCTCACTTCTGTCGGTGAGCCCCAGGGCAGCTGTGGTTACAATGTAGCTTCAGTGTGTGAGTGTCTCCTGACTTGACCAAAGCGCTATATAAGTACAGGCTATTTACCACAGTATATGGTTAATAAAAATAAATGTATGTATTGTTATGTAAGATCCATCCAATTTGCTGTAACTGTTCAATAATTTTTTTCAAACGAAGTTATCGTTAAATAGGTGCATTAGTTGGCATTTATTTATTTAATCAAATATTTCCAGAGGAATCTCAATTAGAGCCCCCAGTATTATAGGCTACTTAAATTGTTTTGTACATTTACTGGCATTAGATATGGTAGTGAGAAGCATCGTTGATACCAGCCAGTACTTTAGCCTGTATGATACTGTATTGGAAAGGAATTTGTTAGCTAACATTAATACTAGACAGTGTAGACCTTTATATGTTTATAACCACTACATACTTAACTATAATTATTTATCTAGATATCTATTAAACCCACAAATGTCTCATTGAGATAAAGGTTTGCAAAGGCGACAGAACTAAAACACCATACAAGATGTGAAACTCTAAATATTTAGTAATCAATATATGATAACAATATGACAGTAAAAACAGCATCAAGAGTTAAAAGAAAAGTAAATAAAACAGAGACATTGCCTAAATGAGACCGGCTTAGAATTTTTTGGAGGTGATTTAAACAAATTGCAACTGAATAAAGCTGGACTGTATTTAGATGAACAATAAACATCATGAATTGTAATGCATGTTGGATTGGTCTGTGACTGCATTAAATGGCATTGATTCAACTTTTATTTGATTTTATTATAGATGGTTGAGATATACAGTAATATGATCTGGGTTTGGATTGGCTGCTCAGTGACACAGTGGGTAGCACTGCCACCTTGCAGCAAGAAGGTTCTGGGTTTGATTCCTGGTCTAAGGTCTTTCTGCATGGAGTTTACATGTTCTCCCGGAGCATGTGTGGTGTCTCTCTGGCCCAAAGTCCAAAAACATGGCTGTTAGGTTAATTGGCTTCTCTAAATTGTCCTTGGGTGTGAGTTTGTGCATGAATGGTTGTTTTTCTATGTGTTGCCCTGTGATAGACTGGAGACTTGTCCAGGGTGCAAACGGGCTCTCGCCCGTTGACAGCTGAAGATAGGCACCAGCACCCCTCGCCACCCCGCTTGGGATAAGCGTGAAAGAAATGGATGGATAGATCTGAGTTTGATTTTAATATAACAGAAGTATGTCGGGATACATGGTTTTAGATCTGAAACAAATTGCATTTTAATTAAACATGATTGAGCTGTATATAACTGGATCTGGTTCTTTGTAACTTAAATGTATCATGTTAAGTTTGTTACATTAGTCATTAAAAGGACTATAATGGAATTAACTGGAAGAATCACATAACGGGTGTAATATAGTTGTACATTTTTTTTTATAGATTTTAATTTAATTTGCTCTATACAATTAATAAATATTTTAATACACATTTTATCAGGCTGCTTTCAGTTGAGTTCATCTTTTATTTCGGCTGCTGTTTATGGGTGGGACTAATATGTCAGAATGAAAGTAAAAGGTCTGTTCAGTTGGTGCAATAGTTTCATTAAGCTGATCTTTTCCAAATTAAATCAGGTAATTAACCATTGTAGAAATGTTGCATTTTAAAGTTTATCTTCAGATCTACCGTTTAAAACACAGACAGATACCCAACTTACAGGTTTCCAAACATGCAGAGCTATCAAGTCTGACAGGTCGTTGCTTAAGCAGGAAGTTACCTATTCTTATTCCAGATTTTTTTTAAATAACAGTATTAATCCTAAAAGCCATAGTTTGTACCTGTGAGGACAGGTTAGACCACTCAACCTGCCCCTCATCCTGCACAGTGACAGACTTTACTCCGGATAGAATGACGTTCTTGGCTATTTCCACTCCCAGACCCTTCATCCCTGCGATCAGGACCTCAGCTGATCCCATCCGGTGCATCGCCTCATGACCCAGAACATAACTGATCCAAATCACACAAAAAACACACCCATGACAAGCTGAAGGCATTTTAAAATACAATAACATCAGTTTTGTTACTTACAGTTGTCTGGAGTAAAAGCCCTCATCGATTTCACCGGTTCCTGCCATGTTGATCCCCTTAGTTTCCTGTGTGAAACAAAAACAGCGTGACTCAAAGGGAGGCAAATATCGTAATAAAAGCCTGAAGGAAGAAAGAAGGCAGCCCAAACTTCATCAGAGCAAAACCCCCGAGCTCAGACCTGTCATCTGCTGGTAGGAGTTCACAGCTAGTGGTATTCCACTTTCGTTTCAGATGATTTTCACCGTGCAGTGACTTTACAAAAAAATAATGAATGAAATCCTTCCGTGTGTACCTTCGTTTGTTGGCCACTAGGGGGCGGATCAGGCCTTCTAATAAAAATCAAGATATCCTTGCCTCCGTACCTTGGTTTTAATTTTTGGCCAAAAAAACCTAATAAAAAAAAAAAAAAAACACAGTCATGGATGTTCTCCCTCGCCGAGGGAGTTGTCTACGGAAGAGGATAAGAGCTACTAAAAACAAAAAAACCTCAAAGTTAACTGATTTTAAAATATTATTTCAGTTTTATATAGGGAAAAAAATGTCAGATTTTAATCTCAGAATTCTAACTTTTTTTTTCAGAATTCTGACTTTCATCTCAGAATTCTGACCTAATCTCAAAATGTTGACTTTAATCTCAGAATTCTGACTTTCATCTCAGAATTCTGACCTAATCTCAAAATGTTGACTTTAATCTCAGAATTCTGACTTTAATATCAGAATTCTGACAGAGAAACATGTTAACATCAAGCTGTAGCCATTTCTGTTTTAGAGATTAGCTCTCTTGTTTTAATGACCTTCTGCTCTTCCATTAATGAAATAGCATCACCAGGGTCCTCTCGGGCACGTAAAAAGTTGCCTAATTTGGTCTTTTTCCACTAATGTGTTACTGGCCCTCCCAAACAACTCACATCTTTGTCTTTGAAGCTAATTGCTCCCACAACTCTTCCATCTGACTTAATCAGAAAAGAAGTCAGAATTCTGAGAAAAAAATCAGAATTCTGACTTTAATCAAATTTTTTCTCATATTATACTGAAATAAAATTTAAAAATCAGTTAACTTTTTTTTTGTTTTTTAAGTGGTCCTAATCCTCTTCTGTAGTTGTCTGTGTGCTCCACTTAAACCAGAATAATCTGTCCTGTTTCCAAATACCAAATAAGTTCAAAGTCCAACTACGCTGACTTTAAGATTAACAAGCCTTCAACAAATGTCTTCTAAGTTTCAGAGTAAATTTGCTTCCGTAGTTTCTGAATTCTATTACAATTATCTATTTAGATATTTGAAAAATTTTAATTTTGAAAAAAAAAAAAAAAAAAAAGATGTTCACAAAAGCTCTATTCCATTTAAAGGGGGGTTTATGTGTTTTATTCATCCTGTTCAAATAAGCAAACATTTTAAGAAAAAATTATCCAAGACTTAGTTAGACAGTACCTTTAACACAGAAACTTAACCTAACTAGACTCGATGAGTCATAAACTATAAATCATTCTGTGGTTATAAACTGGGTTTCGAAATTGTTTCGACAAATTCAGTAGATAGATAATAACAGAAGAACTAATGCATGCTTTTGGTAGTTTATCAGAATGCAGCGTGGTTGTGGTAGCAAGATATATAACATACATACATAGATAGATAGATAGATAGATAGATAGATAGATAGATAGATAGATAGATAGATAGATAGATAGATAGACAGACAGACAGACAGACAGA